GTTTATTATAGTAAAAATAAAAACTTGCTTTCTCAATAGTAGAATATATAAGGGGTCAATGATTCTTACAGTATTGAGTATATATGCTATTAGTATATATTGAATAAAACTACTGAAACTTGGAGGACAGTTTTTAACGTTTGTTTGATAATATTTGAAAACATACAATTCAATATCCACCATGTCTAATTTCAAAAGTCAAAGTTTCAAGTTCAGAGATTCGGAAAGAGAAGTTGTTTCTGTTTTGATCGAAAATTATGACTATGAATTTCAAAAAAGAGAAAGTGAAATTCTTGATGATATTATTATGGAATTTAAAGAATGGATCTTCCGTGAACAAACAGAAACTGTTGGATATTATCCGAGGCTTTTCGAAAAATTAAAAGAAATAGAAGATAAAGATAACGAAACTAAACTTCGCGGAATAAATGAGTTTCAGCTATTAGTTCAAGAAAGAGAACTTAAAAGAAAAGGTCTTGCCGACAATTATGGACAAAATTATATTAATTTATTGAAAAAACTTAAATCTGAGAATTTTTATTAGCCTAAATAATAGTTTAAACATGTATCTCACTCTATTTGTGTAAATTTGATAAAATTTATCACGAGTAAACTCAATAAAGGATAGATATTTGACCTTTTGTTACTGCAGTTAATCCAATATTAACAATCAATAAATATATGTTAATGTTTTCTGGAATGTTAGTTTTGAATAAAAGCTTCTTAATGTCTTGTAAAAAAGGTCTGACAGCCAAAAATACGATAGCTAGAAATCCCAAGTAAGGAACTTTCCTTGCGAAGGAAAATGACTTTACTCTGGTATTCTAGAACTACTAAAGTGACCTAATTGGGATAACCGAATTATCTTTTATTGAGAGCGAAAAGTTTCGCTTATATACTTTTAATTACATATAGAGTAAATTTAAAATCTTTATTATTCATTTCTCGGTTCTTTAATTCCAATGATCTATTCTATTTATGAAATATAACCCCAAATTTAACCTAATTTATCCGATTTCAATTTACTTTAGAAATTTTAACGACTGTGCTTTTCTACAGGATCCATTATACTTGAAATTTGTTTATTTTTTTGTTCCTTTATGGTTGACATGACGGAGACAGATGAATTAGAAATATTTTTTTGTTCCTTTA